GTCGGTGTTGAACTAATATTGCTCTTAAATTTTCATGAACTAATGACGTAATAGCATTTACTGTCATTGTGGCACAGCAATTTAGTGACTTAACTGTACTTTCTGTCAAAGTTGCACCACATAATTCATAGATCGTGAAAGCCTTTGCGGCTGGACCTGATGGGCATAGAATCACGTACCGTCTGCAGCGTTCAGGCGGAACCTCACGCCACGGCTACGTCAACCAGGCGGATGATTACAAGGAGAAACCCGGCTAGTACCCGTCAGCCAGCGGCGGCTCGTCATTGACTGCCTCAGCCTTCTCTCCAGACTATCTCGAAACAGCAGTCAAGCTGAAGCGGAAACGGAGCATCGCTGAGAGAAGGCGTCTATGCTCCTGACAGGTCAACGAGGAGTTCTGCACTATAATTGTAGGCCACGTCAGCCTTTGCTGGGCAGCACCACTTTGAGTTGCCTCATCTGGGTTTAAGAGCCTCCAGTTCACCTCAGGCAGTAATTATCTCCCCAAAGCGATCACAACGATGGAACGGAACACTCGTCGACGCTGGAGGGTGCGTCTACCCCCATGCGGTGAGAGACCTAAACTTCATTGAAGGTCCTGATTGCCTGGATCAGGACTTTTCTTTCCTTTTCTGACTTGGGGTCGAGATTTTGCTAAATTGGGCTCTCCCTGCGGTGCCAAGTCCATCCTCTTCACCTCACTGGTCTTCATAAAAGCTGGCTTGGTTCGTTCTTCACGATGCAGAATTCATCCACTTGACGAAATGGATCATTCCTGGGCCCGCTCGTGCCTTTCTGCTGCAAATATTTATGGCCAACGTTTTTGCTAGGCTGGAATGGCGCGGATGGCTTCAGCTAAGCGATCGTGCCCGTTAGAGGACCGTTGGAAGCCTAGGATCGGTCCAGCAGGCGCATTGACCGTGGCGGCGTGATTTGCACTGCCGGTACCGCGCGGGCATTCGGCAGTGGAGTCGGTGATGAAAAGACGCGAAGACCCTACTCCGGATCTGTATACACGCTTCTCGGCGCACTGCTGCAGCGTGTTCTACGACTTGTCTTGCACGGGTGCGGCATAGTCCTTGTCCTTCGGCTTACATTGGGGCAGCGGAGGCAGCAAGGGAGACCAAAGCAGTGGCAGGTGTAGTACAACCGCGAATCACTATATTCGACGATATTAGATGACCATTGCTGTGATGGCCGTCGGCAACTATGCAATAGAGCGCGGAGAGACTGTAGGAGAGAGGCGTCTGCAAAGGCGCAAGATAGACTTTTCTAGATAACAGCCAACAGTTAGCAGGTCCTGGAACTTAATCCACGTAAAATGGCACGATGACTTAATAAAAGCGGCTGGTACACGTCCAGCACTGGACTGCAATAGGCTGATGTATCTATCAACCGTCACGAGAAGCCGGGGTTGCGGACGTCTATGTGACTACCGAGAGTACGCAAGAGCACTGGTTCGAAAAAAGAGGTGAGAGAAAACTCTCAAGGGTACTAGGGTATTTCCGGGTACCAAGCTAGTTAATTCTGTTGTCCGAAAACTGCATCAAATCGAATAGGCGACAAACAATCCTTACGGTGGTAATATCAGACAGGGGCGCAGGTGTACAGTCACGCCGGATCAGACATTTTGGTCTTTAGACCTTTACTATGCCATACATAAGACTTACAATAGCAGTTCAAGTGTCTAACTGGACTTGACTCGACTATACACAGCCACAAATAAAGAATCTAATACATATTATGTGACACAACTTACACAATTAGTAATTTTCAGTGCAACGGAGACATAACTGCATGTGTTAAAAAAATTAAAGTGTTTTTATTTACACTCTGACTTGACATTTTTAAATATTTTTGTTTCTGTATTGTACCTATATAGTTAAACATCCAAAATATCGCAGTTGCAGTTGTAAACTATATAAATTGAAGTTTTAAGACAAAAAAGAAGCGTAAAAAAATCTTTAAAACGCTCTCCTGTAAAATTTGCAAAATTACAGTTACGTCTTTGTAGTTCTAGATGAGCGAAGAGACTCTTTGATCTAATAAACGATGTGAGTGATCATTGTGCATCAGATAATTTAGTGTTTCTCGACCGCTCTACCAGCGTGGTATGTGACTATTTTTACCATCCAGAAATTTAATCCATCCAGAAACATTTCATGCATTCGGGCTGTTGTCAATTTGGTATAAACATGGAAAATGGGGTCAACAACAAAACTTGATTTAAAAAACCGTCTCTTTTAAAAGACGAAATCGTACGAAATCGACGGAGCCATCTGGCAGCACTGGTAATTTAATTTAAAAAGTATAATGTCAAACACAGCTGGTAGGACGACCGTATTAGTACCGGGGGAGTTTTGCGCGGGAAGCGAGAGGGTTCGTGCGTAACTTTATTTCTTATTTTTGTAAATTAGTTTTTCGCTGTTATTGTTGTGTTAATGTGGTGAGATTAACTTAATAATGTGCCGGCAATGAAAAACAATGTAGTGAAAATGAGAAATAAAGTGATCTCGTGTGGTTCTTCTTGTTATTCCCGTGTAAAGTTTTGAGAGCATTGGAACGCGAGCGTCACTATCGTGTTCCAATGAGTTTAGGTTAGGTTAGATTTTAAGAACTATGAACTAAAAATACTGAAGACTAGGCAGCATGGTCATAAAGATCTTCGCCTGTTCCTTTGGAACGAATAATAAAATAATAATAATAATAATTAGTACCGGGTAAAAAGTGTTAAAACTTGATAAAATCCTATGATTTTGTATTTATTCTGACCAGTATTCTAGTGGAATTGCTTTCTGTAAGAAACCCAATTATTTAGTGAGTGCGACATAACCAAGAATGTACGAAAAACAGAACAGTGAAAAAATGGAGTTCTACAACTTATTCAAGGTCCTCGTTATTTTATTTACCGTTTATCTTGTGTACAACCAATATAATGTAGCCCCTAGACATTTAACCCACGTCAAGGACCCAGAGTTTTCTGTCCTGGGCCCGTACAACACCACAAAATATGAAGTAAACGATGTAGCTGACCAACTGATTGATTTGAAGAACTTCAGCTTCAAAATCAACCCGCAACCTTGTGAAAACTATACCCAAGGGCTCTTACTAGTTGTGATTGTCTCTTCGAAGCCAGACAACTATGAAAATAGGAAAGTAATAAGAGATACATGGGGACGTTCCATAGATTCAATGAAAGTTGTGTTTCTTTTGGGTGAGACATCTAATTATACTACAGCGAAACACATTTACAACGAAAGTTTGACGCACAGAGATATTGTACAAGGTACATTCCATGACGCCTATAGGAACATGACTTATAAACACGTGATGGGACTAAAATGGGTGGCACACCATTGCTCGACAGCGAAATACGTTTTGAAGACCGATGACGATGTTTTAGTAAATTCTCACGAACTGCGGCATTTTCTAACCCGGGAGTTGTCGCCATGGGGAACGAAGGGGTTGATATTATGCAAACTATTTAAACATTCCATGGTGTCTCGAAGCAAAACCAGCAAATGGTATGTGACTGAGGAGGAATATCCTGCGAGATACTATCCAATTTATTGTGCAGGTAAACATAGTTCTTTTAATATATTATTTTTATTTAGATTTGCCATAAAAAATTGACTCAATTGAATAAAACATTATTATTATTAACCATTTATTGCACACAAGAAACATTACAATATACAAAGAAAGACAACACAACAGGACAGATTATTACTACTAAGAAATTTCTTCCAGCTGACCTACAGCAAGGGGGACTTTGACTTAAGCCATTGCAAGCTTAGAATAGCATCACCCCATATCTTTCCTATGGGAGTCATAAGAAGCAACTAAGGGATTTGATAGTTGATTGCAATTTAGGCAATAGGTTGACAACCTGTTATTTTAGTATAGTAATACTCAGTCTTCTGAATGACTTAAAATATTGTCAGAAGTGGTTTACAAGGTTGTTTTTTATAGCCATTTACACTCTGCCTACCCGGCAAGTAATTTAGGCGTGATTTGAGTATGTTAATAGGTATTTTATCTCTTTTTTTCAGGCATGGCAATAATTTACTCTCAAGATGTAATCCCACAACTGCTCGTAACGGCCCAAAACATACCGTACTTTTGGATTGACGATGTCCACATCACCGGTGTGATTGCTGGCAAAGCCGGGATCAATCGCACTCCATTGTCAAGCTTGGTGTTGACTAAGAAACGAGGGAATATGCTTACGGCCCGAGGACCGGAAAGTGCTGGACAATTCTTGTTCGGACCGCAAGATTTGAAGGTGTCAAGAATTGTTGAGATGTGGAAAGCTATTCCTCAATAGTTGGATGCACTAAATATTAAAGGAATCCTATGTATACCAGCTATTGTTCTGTTTTTTCATAGGTTTTAAACTTTAAGTGTATCCTCACTAAATTTCAAAATAACTGGTAGATATGCTGTACCACTGTAAGATGAGCGAGTAATCCATTGGGATGTTAATGCACTCAGTGCTATATTATTATATAAGGTCCTATTAAATTCACTGCAAATATTTTAAGGGCATGCGTAAATATGTATAAGAAAATCTAAGGCATTTAAAAAAATCGACACGCTAGATTTTGTTTTTTCATTTCCATACAACCTTTTTAATTAATTACGAGAACACCTTTGACTGACCCGACTGACGTTCCGCCGCGTAGACAGGACTCACTTACACGGCACGCACACTAACAACCAACCAATCACAGCACCTTATTTTGGAGCGTAAATTAAACGCGTTTAGTGGTGTGTTTCTAGGACAAACAGGGTGCACTTTTTTCGTTATGATATTTTTAAGTTAAATGCAATTTTCTCGAAAACTAGCGTGTAGATTTTTTTAAGAACTTTCCTAGTACATGCTTATATTTTATTTGATATGCCCCTAAAATATTTGCAGTGAATTTAATAGTACCTTATATAGATTGTCGCTTGAAGGTGAGCATCAAGAGATTGAAATTTGGCAAGCTTTGATCGGTGCATCGATAGCTTAGTAGCAGAGCAGTGGGATGTTAACTCATGCGGCCCGGGTTTGAGCCCCTGTCGATGCATGACATATTTTCAATTTCTCATTTTCATTTACTAATGTTAAAGTAAGTTTCTTTTAATTATTGTGAGGTATTTAAAGAGTTTAGACTTGCCATGTTTAAAAAACAGATATGCAAGACCAAATGTGTACTTAGTTAGATGAGATACTTGTAGATGTTAAAAATGGTGATGTGATGTGCCTGTGTACTGTGTAGTAATTTAAGCTTGCAGTCAATGTACCTATGCAAATTGTATTTAATTTATTTTCAGTGATATGATAACACTGGCAGTATTGAACAAAATTCGCCATTTATTTAAGAAGTAGCTGCAAGGTGATTGATAAGAATCAATTAATGTACCTAGTCTTGATCTTGGTAATGAGGGTGGACTTAAAACCAGCCATGCTGTGTCCACACCTTTAATTCACTTATGTGCCTACCTAACTGATATTAAGTTCTCAGGTAAAAAACTACCCTAGTGTAAAATGTACCTAGTTTATGATTGTATTGTAATTGTGATACTTATTTTATGTGAAAATAAATGGATTATATTTGTATTTATATAATATTTGATTACAATTGATTATAATACGAATATTTTTGTTGTTCTGAGGCTGTAATTTGAAAACCAAAGAAATTATTTTAATCATATTCATGCAGATTATCGCGGCTTGTAATAATGTGCTATATGTATTAATCTGTTTGTTTAGTTTCAGTAGGGGTAATAAATTTTTATTAAATATTTGCCTATTATCATATCAAGTACCGTATTTTTAATGATCTGTGGCGCCGGTTGAGAATAGTACCTACCTATCACTCGACATTCCATAATTATTTTTCCCCGTGGGTGTCGTAAGAAGCCTAAAATTGCAATACCAACCTACACATCAACTCTCAAATCTCTTAGTCGCTTCTGACGACACAGGAAAGATGTGATGCTATCTATTCTAAGCCGACGGCACCACACGGCAACATTCTTTCCACAGTTACGGAATATCCAAAGGAACCCTAATTTGAGTTAAAAAAAAAGTTCTTCGTCATTGTTGACTCACGTACGCTTCGGTGACTGCCGGAATTTTATTCAATTAACAATTTCTTTAATTAAAAAACGCAATTAATCATCTCTTGAGATTTGTATCACGAAAATAAAGAGTGGACTCGATTCAGGGCACCGTGACGAAACTAAAAAGTAAAATTATGACAACATGTATAATTAAAAGGTATTAATTTAAAAAACAAATTACTTGTTATCAACAAATCTTTTTAATATCACAGTGAGAAACGCTTGTGGAATTATCTATTGATTACCTATTCATTCATTACTTGTATCTTCTCTCTTTTCTCCGAACAAGAAATTAATCCTTTTTTTTAAACCTATACCTACATATAATTGGACATCCTGTATAACTCAGTATTTACGTCTTAATGTCTAGCAATTAAACAGAAATCCTTCTAATACCAAGGCTAACGTAATAGCTAAGTCTAACGTGTAACCTAGACTAGTTCTAGACCATTACGCATACCAATGCGGCCCGGGTAGTGGTAGGGCAGGGGGTGCGAAAAAAGGCGGCTGGTAGCGACTGGATGGCAAAAACGGGAGATCGTGCCTTATGGCGTTCCCTGGGGGAGGCCTACGTCCAGCAGTGGACTGCAATAGGCTGAAATAGAAATAGAATAGATAGGCATACCAATGTGCCCAGTGTTAGGTAAACCGAGGGTTTTCACTTATTTTCACTTCGAAAAGCACTTAGCTGAATGTCAAGCAGCTTAAGATTGTGGAATGACAATAGGTTTTGTTTAAAAGTTTTTAGAGATTTGATGTAAAGTAAAGGCATCCTTCCCTAGTACTATATACTCTAAGCATCCTTCTAATATTTTGAGTGTTTTAGGACTGTACCTCGAAAGTGCAACAAAAGCAATGATGCTTACATATAAAATTAGAAACAAAAATAATAATTGATCGTGGGTATACAGGTTGTCCCCGTTATCATGATCCAAAGAAAAAATCTAGACTCTGGACATCCTTAGCTACCATAATAGCAAAAAAAATGTTGAATATTTGAAGAAAACAATGGACCTCCCATACAAAATGCTCTATCAGATAGCAAAATTAGTAGACATGGGAGGTCCTCTTATATAGGGTGATATTTTACTAGTGACCGATAGCGAAAACTCAGATCCGGCTATTGATAAGGAACAACTTTCCCCAAGGAACATAGGTGGAAATCCGAAAAAAAAATTTGGACCTCCCATACAAACTTGCCGATCAGCTGATTTCAGTTACTATGAGAGGTCAATTATTTTTTTTCGTATTTCGACCTATGTTCCCTGGGAAAAGTTGTTCTTTATCACCAGCCGATTCTGAGTTTTCGCTATCGGTCACTAGTAAAATTTCATCCTGTATAATATCTTTAATATTTTCTTTTTCAAATATTAAACATTTCTTTTGGTATTACGATAGCTTAGGATGTCCAGAGTTTAGATTTATTTCTTTGGACCTCGATAACCGGGACACCCTGTATATAATCGTGTGCGGCGAAACTTAAAAAATATATCTGAAATTCAAAACACATTTTGGTTCAACGCGTGCGCCTCGCACGTATGTAATCCCAAACACACTGTCTCATACAAATTAGTACCTACCTATACCTACTAAGAATTTATAGAGCCATTATTTCTATTTTCAACGAATGCAGAGTCATAAATTAACAGTCTCTACAAAAGACTCTACCAGAAGCACCCCTTCAGGGCAATAGTTTTTATATTAGATCAATAATTTTGTTATATTCTTACTTTTTCTACTTGGTAGGGACAAAAATAGGCAGGAGGCTTTTTTACAGTTGATGTGGTCAATGTGGTCATCGTAACCGCATAGAATTAGGTATTACTCCGTTTCAAATTCTATCGTACGTATGAATAGGTAGTTTGGATGGATTGTATAAAGACGGTATGCACCGTGACGTTCCACGGCGCCGGCGCCGTGCCGGAGGTACCTATGTGGACACGCCGTAACCGTAAGTGAGGATTTGACTGCTGATAGAGATGAATGGAAGAAAAAGACAATTAGGCGCCGCCGCAAATAAATTGGGATAAGGGCAGGCAGAATCCCACCCCACCCAAATTACCACAACCATAACAGTCCACTGCTGGACATGAGCCTCCCCCTATCGGGGGGTGTTGCCATACTCACCACGCTTGTACCCCACCCATATTAAAAGTTCCTATTTCAAATAGCACTGTAGCACCACGGTGGTACCGGGAAGCGCGGGACCGTTAGCTTGCCCTAGCGGTCGATACCCGCTGCGTCCGCGCATGCATTTGCAACTAGGGCTGCTATAAGCCGTGACTATTGCAAGTCGGAAATATAGAAAAAATATTTTCTATCATCATCAACTGGCTACCTATATGGCGCAGTGGTAGTGCGACGTCCCGGATTCGATTCTCGGTAAGCCACTCAAAAAGTTGACATTTATCACTTTTTGGATTTGTTTCCATTCTTGTTAGAACTAACCACATGATTGTCCGAGAAAGAAGATGGTTTCGTGCTTCTGAGGGCACGTTAAGTCGTTGGCCCCGGTTGCTGCCTATGATATGATTACATAGACGGAGACGGCTGTCGTTACCTAACCATGTTAGAGGCCTACTACTTTTAGGCAGTAGAAAAACTCTGACACCAAAGTCGCAAGACCATGTTTAGTTCTCCTTTCCTCATGAAAGAAAGGAGAAACATCGTCCTCCTGCCGAACGAGGACGAATCCTGCCAAAATGGAGCTAGTCATCCGCGACGTGGTATTTCTTTAGTGTTTTTGTAGGTAGGTAGGTGCTTAGTTATCTCAATTAAACGGCCAATTAGATGTCTACAAGATATTAAAAAAGCCCTGAGCCAGCCCTACCACAGCCTACAATTAAACTCCGCTTAAAGTATAGCAACTAGTTCCTGATTATAATGAGTATATACCACTTGAATAGCTGAGGCGATTGCACCCAACGTTCCGAGGAATTGAACATTCATGAGTTGTGAGCTTTTTGCTCTCTCTCTTTTCGTGTGGGACACCGAGTCGTTCAACGACCCGATGAACCCTGGTGTCAGAGTTTTTCAACCGCCTACTGCAAGTAGCAGGCCTCTGACATGGTTGTGTAACGACCGCCATCATAAACAGCAACCGGGACCGACGGCTTAACGTGCCCATCCGAAGCACGGAGCTTTTTGCTGAAGACATTAGATTTCAGATGCCGTGTAGGTACCTACCAGCAGAATAGAAGGTGGCTCTCTTCCCGTGGGGGTCGTAAGAGGCGACCGAGGGATAAACCCATCCCAAACAGCCAGGGCCAACCGTATGCTGGCGGTTAATCCACCACAAAAGCATTCTCAAGGAGGTAGGTCGTAAAATTCAGCCAAATCCTTTTGCAACACTATTTTGTGTTCAACGAAACGTGTTGCGCCGACCCCAAGTAATTGGGATAAGGGCAGGAAGATGATGATGGTGATTAGATTTCAGATGGGTGCAGACTGGAAAGGGACTTTTGAACATTTTTATTTATCAGTGGTTCTTACTGCTTTACTTTCTGCCCGTTTTTTCGTGTTAAAAATACCTATCGAAGCAGCTGAAGGTACTTATCATCTTCCTGCCCTTATTCCAAATCAGTTTCGGTTGGCGCAACATGTTTTGGAATACAAGGTCCACAAAGTCATGTAGCAAAAGGATTTGGCAATGTTTTTTGACAGGCCTATCCCCCTCTTTGGGAATGCTACTGTAGGTGGTATCACCGCCACCATGCAGTTGACCATAGTCGACTATTCAGGCGAGGTCAAAAACTCTACGTAGCCTTTTACGAAACATCCTGAGTGGACTAGGGGTGGCAGTATCGCCAGCCGCTACCACACGGGTTTAATGCTATGATATAAGGCCTATTATTCTTCCTTGATATGTCTTTCTAGTACGGGTATGACAGCTGTCAAATATGGCCTACTTAAAACCAACTAACTTACTGCTAAATTTATCAGAACTGTCGATAATGCAAAC